AATTTTTCTCAATTGTCTAATTGAATGAATCAAGATGGAAATAAAACAGATTTCACGGGTTGATGAAAGCACCCTATCATATAATTCTCTATGGACGCACCTATCTCTTTCCCTCAACAATATACTAACTAAAATGATGATAACAATTGTTTATTAACAAAAACTATTTAAGTGACGCAAAGTAAGCTTGCTTTTAGTACTAGATGTTTGTATGACATGTTTGATTACAAGGTATCAAACCAACAAAAACCAAAAACATAGCATTATTGACCCATTTGTTTCTGAATTTAATTGGCACTTGACTCCAAGCTGCTGGAACTCATGTCCATCCCTTGCGCCTGTGCGCTCTTTAATAGGTATTTCATATGAAGCTTTGCGGCCTTCAAACCTACGTACATAAGTTCATCGGCTTTCTTGGTTAAGGTTTTAGCCTTTTCACCTTTCTTCAATCTTTTAGCTGGTTTTTTGCCCTTCTTTTTCTTTTCGTCTGCTTTCTTAGTCATTATATGCATCTCGGCATCATCTAGTGTGTCGGTACTTTCTGCTCTATCTCCTGATACTGATGATTGACCAAATATTTCATCGTCACACGAGAGAGTATTGTAACTTGTTCCTGGTTGATGCAGCTGATCTGCCGCTTCGCTATCACACCTCGATGAGTTACATAGAGGGTCGTCTTTGTCCTGTGTTTGAACATTCTTCATTCTCACGATTATATCTTCGGCAGTCATGTTGTTCATGCTTTTGGCGTTTCGTTCCTCTCGTTCGCGTATTTCTGGTGCATCTCTTACTTTTCTACCAATGTTTGACTGACGGTTTCTGATGGACTTGACAGCATCTTTGTTGTCGATGTTTTTAAACGCAGTTGCGTACTTCTGTTTGACATCTTCAGATAACAATTCCTTGTGCTTTACAAAGAAGCCTAAAATCTTTCTCCAATCATTCCCTATTGCCGCAATAGCCTGTCGATATAAGATTCTTTCCGCATCTGATATGGCGTCTTTTCTAGCACGTGCTCCATTTCCACTGCAGCTTTGAGTTCTTAGTTCTATAATGAAAGAAAAAGAAAATTCGCGGTAAATCATTAATTTTTTTTTTACTAGAAACGTTATCATAACTAACAATTTACTCAAATATTTAGGTGACTTACCATCTATGGTAGATTTTTCCACATTCATTTTACACTTGAGTAGATCAAACGACTATTGCCTGAACGTTTTGAACTTGGCGCGTGTCTAGTCTGTACTGAACATGCTAAATACTGTCAGCTCTGGTTCGCAAGGGGGAAATGTACTCATAATTAGCGTAACTATAGAAACATATCATTAGCATATTAAAAATAGACCCATGTGTTTTAAGCTGTGAAATACAGAAGATTTAGAAAAACTCTATTAGGTACATATAGTTTATGTATTCTGTAAATATAATGTTAACTGAATAAACAATATTGTATCATGGACATTCAATAAAACTTCAACTGTTTTTGCTAATGAGTTATTTTATTTCTTTGTTTAATTTTACTTTTCTTTCACATATACATCGATCTATTTCCAATAACATCGTCAACAAAAAGAAATCTTTAAAAAAGAAAACAAACATCAAAATATCTGAAAAGTATGAGAATTAATGAACAGAGCTACCAAACTTATTCTAAACAAGATCAGAAACAACTCGTATTTTAAATTAAAATATTACCCTTCTATAATAAACGAAAATACAAACAAATGGACAACAATACAACTTACCTTCAAATACATATTAGAAATCCTTCGAAGTACTTCTTTTTCGCAAAAGACTTCAAAAATAATTCAAAAATCAAACGCTACGAATGCCACATGTTGACGATTTGTATCCGCCATCTTGAATTTTTTGACAGCAACACGTGTGACTTTGGGAATCGCGGGGGGTCTATTCAAGAGGTCAAACCCAGGCCTTAACATGGTTGAGAAGGATTTAAGTTGTGCTCATTCTAATTACAAGACTTAGAAAAGCCATGTCGTGTTATTTCATCTCAGGCTCCCTCTCCAGGATCGCACCCATCACAATACAATACAATACCTTACCATTAACAGTTAAGATCACACGTAATCGACTTTGGCGGTGTGAACCCAAAAACCAGCTACCGGCGTTGCTGGCACCAGACTTGCCCTCCATTGGATACTCGTTGAAAGATTGTGTCATTCCAATTACAAGACTTAGAAAAGCAATGTTTTGTTATTTCTTATCAGGTTCCCTCTCCAGAATCGCACACAATACAATACCACACCTTACCATCAACAAACATGATCACGCATTCTTTGGTCGTGTGGATGCTCGTTAAATTATTTTACCGCCATTTGCATTGCTACGCGGCCACCACAGACAAAAATCGGCACGTGCACTTTGCAATAGCCTGCCGTCAATCAAACAAGTTGACGTCATTTACACGCGTTTGGATCGGCCTGGATATGCCCGGTGAGTGTGGCTCGTAATACTTGTAAACAATCAACACGTTACACGCAAATACACACACGCCTACACACTTTTTCACACATTTACACACACTAAAGACACTTTGGCACAAATACACACACACTACGCACACTTACACACACACCAACTACACAAACTTACACACACATTTACACACACTTACACAAACATACATATAATTGCACACACTTACACACATTTACACACTTACACTTACATGCACTTACTCACAAATACACAGACACATACACACCCTTCACACACATACAACATACACAAACCTACACACACTTACACACTCATACATGCACTTACACACACTTATAAATACGTACACGTACTTACACACACTTTCACACATTTACACACAAATACACACACACTCACACACACTTACACACACTTACACTTGCATACATTTACTCACAAATACAAATACACAGACACATACACACACTTACACACACATACACATACACAAACCTAAACACATTTACACACACTTACACACTCATACATGCACTTACACACTCATAGATGCACTTACACACACTTAAACACTCTTACACACACTTTCACGGTTTTACACACATTTACACACAGACCTACACACACTTACTCACATTTGCACACACTTATACCTACTTACACACACTTACACACACACAAATACACACGCATACCCACTTATACACACACACTTTCACACGGTTACACACTTACACACACACACTTACACAAAATTAAACACACTTATACAAACTTAAACATACTTACACAGACTTGCACACCTAACACACACATACACTTACACACACTTACACACACAAATACACACATACACAGTTATACGCACAAACGTTCACTCGTTTACACACATACGCACACATACAAACGTACACTTACACACACTTATAAACCGACACACACTTACACCCACTTACACAATCTCTTCTCCGCATATAATCTACGATTAGCTTCCCAAAATGCACTAGGGTTTATGTTATTTTCAAGATGGAGGCYTTACCTAATGAAGTTAAAATTGAAAACGAAGTAAACGTTGTAATAAAAAAAGAGCATTTTATTGCACCGGACTGATGTCTTAGCCAAAAACGTTGAGSAGCGTTCAGAGGTTTTCGAACTTTTGAGGCATGATTTCGTCTTGTCTTTCGCTCTAGATACTCATAAATAAGATYTTTCATGTGAATAATGGCTTCTCTTCCGAATCTGTATTGCACAGAAGTTTGCTGTCAATGYATTCCTTGATACAAGAGCTTTTAAACCTATGTCTACGAGCTTTTCTTTTCTTTGCGAAAAAATTGAACAAGAGAYATGCCATTTYGTTTTCATAATCTTTATTTTAATTTCAGTTTAGCGATAAAAACCACCTCGCRAGTTGGTTTAAATTTAACCCACTCTTTAACCCTAGGTTAGCGCTAATCGTGCTTTGAATACGCAATCTAATCCTAGATTAAAATTTAAACTTCGATTAGGCGATATAATCCAGGTTTAGCGCTAATCGGGGTTTTGCACAACCGGGCCCTGCATGGGCTCTGAGTACGAGATTGGGACAAGGCTTGTTCAAGTATTTCCTAGTRCGCATCCGCAGAAGCATTAATATATGTATTTCTACTAGTAACATATTTATGGTCACCAGTTGAAAAGGCGACAATCCTGCGAGTAAAATGACTTAGAAGTCGATTATTTTAATCTAAGTCTTTGTTGAAAACCCCAGCGCAAGTCGGGGTTAGAAACTCTAACAAAAATCAGGATTAGAAGCCCTAGCCCAACATGAAACCCCAGCGCAATTCGGCCTTAGAAACCGAAAATTGGGGATAAAGAACCCAACAAATGTTGAGGTTGGATAACCTATCGCAAGTCGGGGTTAGAAGCCCTAACACAAGTTAAAGTTAGAAACCCTAGTGCAAGTAAGGGTTAGAAACCACATTGCATGTCCGGGTTAGAAACTCTAGCGCAAGTCGGGGTTAGAAACCCTAACGCAAGTAAGGGTATGTATACGTATACGTATTGCAAATTATACGCGATTCAGCCTTAGTTGCCAAGTATGCTATTTATAACGAAATTAAAAATAGTAGTCAACGTGTATTAGTCTAATATCTATATCACGAGTTTAATGACTTTACTCTAAACTATCTATATATCTATTTTAAATAAGAATTGCTCGGTCAGAATACTAGTTCAGTTTCCTGACAGCATGCTTGGATCGACRGTAATGCGTTTGGCTAGGAAGGTGGTTTAGCTGGTTTAGCTTAAAAAACATTGTCTAGTTTGTATTTATCAAGAAAATTACAAATTGGATATAATTGATTGGTGATTGAACTTCGTGTCGTGCAATTTTGGTAGGAAATGAAATTCGTGATTACAAACGTCGTGAATTTTGTAATAACTCGTATGATTTCTGACCAAATTGCACTCCACTTAGTTCGATTGCCATCATTAATTACCGTCAAGGCATGCTAATACTTATAATGATTAACAATCAGTAGCAATAATTAGTACAAGCTTATGAAGGATTTTAGTGTTCTCTAGTGTTTGTAGAGTGTGAAATGGGTGGCGTACACYGCTAATTCGTCGTCTTTCACCGCTTTGAGTGAAAGCAGGCCCACATCAGTGAAAGCTGTTAAAATAAGCAGCCTGCTGTAACAAACAAAAGATCATTAGTATTTTATTGTCATAATTMATATTTTTATTATTATCACATCAACCGCCGATAGTTTTTCCGAAATTTCCTTCCTTTAATGATGTAAGCATTCTAAATCCTATATAACACTCTACAGTGTTTAAAAAAATGCCCACATATAACTGAATATTTCCAGTATTGATTCTACATGAAGTGAAGAGTTGCAAGGGCGGATCCAGGGGGTGGGTCGGGGAGGGGTGGGGGTCGCGACCCCCCTGTCATTCCCGAGGTCAAATGGGCTTC